TGAAACCTGAGCAAGATTTTAGAAGTTCAAATATTGGAGGGGTGTGGGGAGGAAGGAAGGGAAGGGAGCCGTCCAGGGGCGGACAGCAGCGCCTCTCCGAGGTAGGGAAGGGTGGCCCCTCACCAGACTGGCTCTGTGTCCACCCGGCGCCTCACTTATGCGGGGAGCCGAGCCCTGGGGCCTCCCTTACTGGAGAATAGGGGTTCAGCAGAGGTCTGAGGATGCCTCGGGACCTTTGGCATCAGGACTCAGTGGAGGTCTGGAGGAAGGTCAGAGGGCCCGGACAGGATATGCACAGATAGGCTTCTGGAATGAGGGTGCCTGATGCTGTGGCCACTGGTGAGACCCACCTTGGGTTTTGGCCAGTTGATAAGAATAGTTAATATAGATTGAACTCTTTGTATTAGATCTTGTGGTACTTTTACCTAAGTATCTCATTCCGTTCTCATGGCAGCCCTGCGAGGCAGATACCTTTATCACCTCCACTTCACAGAGAGGAAACTGAGGTACAGGGGACACTAGCCTGGAATCAGGTCGGCACTCTCTGGCCTCTCCACTTTGGCAAAAAGCAGAGCACCCTTCCTTACTCTGGTCACTTATCCAGTTCATACCAAACCCCTTCTGAATGTTTGGTAGTGTCTGGTCCTCTCAAACACTGAGGAGGGCCCAGTGCAAGGCTGGAGACTTGGGGGGCAGTGTCGCTGAGGGTCCATTAACCCGTGAGCCCTTTGCAAGAGGGCCTGAGGTCTGAGGGGAAATTTTGGGGTGACACGGAGAGGGGTGCTCCTGGCCGGGGCAACAGGTAGGCGTGAGGCTGCAGGGTGATGGGGGGTGGGGCTGCAGGTGGGGGAGCAGGCCGGTGGCCAGGGCAGACGGGTGCAGGGTGTTGGAGGGATCTGGGCGGTCTCTGAGCGGCCACAGCTGGTCCAGCCCAGAGGCTTGTGTGGAGGGACTCCCAGTGCAAGAATGGGGGTCCCTTGAAATGTCCTGAGAAGGGGCCCCTGATACTGAGGACTGTCCCCACTGACTTGCTCTGGAAGACCAGGACAACGCTGACTTCTGCTTTTTATGTTAACATGTTAACACTGCATTTTCCAGTGCCCTTTTGTTTTTGTTTTGCTTTTGTTTGTACTGTCTCAGAACAAAATTATTTTAAAACTAAGAGCCACTTGTGTGTTGCTTTGAAATGACTAGCTGGAGGCACGTTGGTGAGACTACAGATCACCCACCAGGAGCTGAGTGGGGCGAGGCGTCTGCCTGGCGGGGCAGGGCTGGGGCTGGGAGTGGAACGTTGACCGAGGGCTCCCTCGGCAGTGCTCTGCTTCAAGAACCCCACTGAATCCTCACGGTAGCCCTGTGAGCTGGCTCGTTCCCCTTTTACAGTTGAGGAGATTAACGCTCAGGGTCTTGCATGCAACTCTGGGCTGAAAGGGCCTGACGTCTCCTTGTCAGACGCGCAGCCTTCCAAACCCAAATAAACCTCTGTTTTAAGCCACTAGTTCATGGTACGTTAAAGCAGTCTGGGTGCTGAGGGTGGGCCCTAGCAGCCCTCCATCCTGGCGCAGGGGTTGCTCCTTGGAGAAGGACCCCTCTTATGGTTTGTCCCCATCATTTCTCCTTACGGTTGGCCTCTCTGTTTCCATGGGCCCCTCTTCCAGGACCTGGAGGCACATTTATTTTCCCCAGAGCATCCCCTGGGAAGGGGGCCAGGGGTTAGAGCTGCAAGGGAAGGGTGGAAACCGGAAAGGATAACGGTTCTATTTTATAGATGACAACACTAAGGTCAAGAAATGCCAATTCTCCCTAAGATACTCCGATTAGAACCTAGGAGTGTTGCTCCCTGGTCTTTGCTGCCTCTGGCTGGGGAGACCCTCACCCTATCTATCTTGTGGCGTCAGAGCTCCCTGCCCCCGCTTGGCCCCCCGCGATGTGGGAATATGAGTCACCTGGAATCTGGTCTGTTCTTCAAGCTCCCCAGAGCCTCCCTCACCAAGAAAACTTCCCTGACTGCTGGGGCTGGCAGGGGTCTCTGTCCCCTGAACAGGCAGGCTTCCTGGGCCTGTTGGGCAGTCAGGCCCTGCTCTGTGCTGTCTTACTCGTTAGTTCTCTTCTCATGCGTGTGTCCTGTCTGCCCAGGTAGCCTGACTTTCGCCAGAGGTTCTGTCTCATTCCTCCTCACCCTCAGGCGTGGGGAGGTCTGTGCGCAAGACATTGGAGTTGTTGCCAGAGATGGTGGTGCTGGCTGTTCAGGGAAGGCTGAGCCATTCCCGGGGGCCTATGTGGCCCTGTGCCACCCAGGGGCCCTCTCCCTTTCTGTGTCCAGATTGAGCACCAGCTGAAGGCTGTGGAGGACAGTGGCTTGGCAGCACCTCAAGATGAGCTGTCTTGAGGGAAAGACAGCCTGTGGGGGTTACCCACCGGGTCCCTGCCTTTGGAATCTCTTGGAACTCTCCACAAGGAGCACATCAGGCCTACAGGCTACTGGCTGGGGCCAGTGGGGCTTGCTTCCGTGGTTGGAGAAGGGCATGGGGGCTCTGACTTCATTTCTGCTGGCTGAAAAGCCCTGGGCTTAGCATTTCCAGGGGCCTGGAAGTATCAAGATGTGTTCCAGTGGTTTTGCTACAGTCTGTGATTACACGGTCTGGTGGAATAAAGTCATTGGTGCTCAAATATGCTTTTTATAAAATCCCCAAATACTCTTCCTGGAGTCTTCTGTTCCCTAGCTCTGTCCAGCTCAGCGTTGGGACTGTAAAAAAAAAAAAAAAAACAACAACAAAAAATCTTCCTGAGGTTTTGGTGCTGTTTTCAGGGGGCGTGTGTGTGTTTGTGTGTGGCAGAGAGAGCAGAGAGAGGGAGAGACAGGCAGAACATAAGAGAACTGGATGCACAGAGGGACATACAGAGCCTGGGTCAGCGGTACCTGGAGTTCAGAGAAGAGACTGGAAGACCTCCTCCTATCCCGAGACTCTGTCCCATTTGTGAGTTGGCAGTAGCTCTTGCTTGCTGTAGAGTTCGGAGAGCTTCTAGTCCTTCCTTCTCTTCCTTGTCTCCCCTTCTCGGCATCCCTGGGGCATTGTTCATCGCTCAGCGCGCTGCCGAGGCTGCACAGGTGCGGCCCCGGAGCGGAGTCCCGGAACAACGCGCCCTGTGTGGCCTCTGGCCTCGGGACTGCCTTATCAAAGGCCCGGCATTTCTGGGCACTGAGAGCAGGGGACGCTTGGCCTGCGTAGCCCCCTGTGGCGTTCACCCCACTGGGCGTGAGGCTGTCCTGGTGCCGGGCAGAGAGCTCCTACTGGGGGGTGGGGGCAGAAATGCATGTGGGCACTTGGAGGCATGGGGTGCCTACCTCAGACAATGGCTTCGCCATTCCGTCCCCAGGTGAGGAGAAGGCTTCTATGGAGGAGAGTCAGGAAGGCCTACGCAAGGGTGGGGTCTGAAGGAGGAGAAGATGGTGGCCTTCGGGCAGGAGGCCGGTAAGCCAGAGAGCTTCTAAATGCCATCCTGGAAAGGTGGCCGAGGGCTTCAGACCATTGAGTCAGGTGGTTGTGGGGTTCTGGAATCTCTGTGCGTCCCCGCATTTGTGCGAGTGCTCCCCTGCAGACATTAGTGGCAAAACCTGTGTGAAGAATGTGGCCCAGGTGCTCACCTTTGGGGCTGTAAAGGAAGAGGGCAGCTGGGGAGAGTGGAGGTCTCCCTCCAAAACTCCCCCAAAAGAGTGGGAGAAGAGGAGACCCACTCCTGGCCCAAGATGGAGTGTGCTACAGCAGCTTTCAAAAGAAGAGTCCAAATGGGCTTGGTTTTTGGGGCTTGTTACAAGAAAAAGGGTGTCAGGAGCCTGAGCTCTTATCAGCCAAAAGTGGTCCCCAGGTTATCCAAACAAGTGTGGGCTGTCGTGTCCCCGGCCACAAGCCCTGCCCACAGCAGCCCATCCCCACGCACCTGGCTGCACAGTCAGGAAGCCAGTCCTCTTGAGACGCTCGGCACCCTGCCCGGTGGGGCTTCTGCCTGAGCTGTGGCACCTCCAGGACAGGTGACCGCAGCTGGCCCAGCAGCTCTCTGTGGGAACCCTATCTCAAGCCTGAACAAATCCGAGCATTTCGCCTGCTCATGGACTTGCACGAATTTCTTTTGCTGCCAACCTTCGCTTCACTCCCATCCTCCACAGCACGCTCTTCCCTTGCCTGGCTGAGCTTCGCTGCGTCTTGTCCAAGAGGCCCTGCCACTGAGCTGTGTGTCATTGGGCAAACTCACTTACCCCTCTGAACCCCAGTCTCCCCACCTCCAGAGTAGTTCCCGAGGCTCTTTTCAACCCTGGAGATTAAGTCCTGCCTCCATGGAAATGAACATTGTCTATGAAACGTATGCTTTCCCCTGGGGCACCTGATGTGGGATGTTGTCTAGAGGCCCTTTCAGCTGGCTTAGAGAAGCCGCCTCCACATTTCTAGCTGGGGGAGGGTCAGAGACAGGAAACAGCCCTTCCTGTGGATGATAATGCCTCTGTCCCTGGAGGCACTTTTAATTTGTTAAGACCTGTTCTCCCCTGGAACCAGAAACTTCCTAGTGCACCAGGCAGGGAAGCTATTACCTGTATTTTACAGGTTGGCAGAATGAGGCCCAGAAAAGTGAAGTCTTTCTCCAGGGATCCGTGACCCCTGGTGATTAATGTAAATTCATAGAAAGAGCACCAGGCTGAAGTCAGATGATCTGACCTTGAGAAAGTCCCTAAGGTCCCTAGACCCCAATTTCCTGTCTGTGAAGTGGCAATAATAATGATTACAAGGTCATACAAAATAATGGAGGTGAAAACAGTTTGCCAATGTGTAAACACGCATTAACTCTCACCACCCCTGGTGGCACCGAGCTGTTCTCCCACTCTCCACTTCTCTCCTGCACGGTCTTCCTTCCTGGAGCTAAACACAGTCTCCCGGGCGATTTCTCTGGCTGGAAGTGGACAGGATCCTACCTGACTCCTAATCCCCACGGTGGTTCTTCCCCTCCAGACTGTAAATTCACCTGCCACCCGGAGTGCCGTCACCTGATCCAGCTGGACTGCAGTCGACAGGAAGGCCCATCCCAGGACAGGCCCTCTCCAGAAAGCACCCTCACTCCGATCTTCAGCCAGGTAGGCAGCAGAGCTCAAGGACCAGGCTGGGAATGGCTTCTGCTGGTGTCCTAGGCTCCACTTTCTTTGCCCAGGAGCTTTGGTCAGCAGGAGGAGGTATGAATATTCCACGCATGCTGGATGCTGGGGTCCCCTTCTGGCCAGACACACCTCTTTTCAAGGGAATGGGAAAATGGAACGGGAACAGTGACCCAGAGAAGTGTGTAGATATTCAGAAGTCCTCATTAGGTCTCTCCAAACACAGGGCCTGCTTTGGCCTAGGGTTCCAAGCCAGAGGTGTTGGTATAGATGAGGGCAGGAAGGAGAGAAGGCTCCCGAAGGTCCTTGGAAGCCTCAGAGCCCTGGGGCCATGGGGATGTTAGGGCTGAGGCTCCTCAAGCATATCATCCCGACTGCCAATAAGGCAGCCAAACAATATTCAACTTCAGAAGGGCCAGGCAGATATTTTCCCTGTGATAAAGAACCAGAGAATTGATGCCCAAAGCAGCTTTTGGTCCTGGGTTTTGCCAAGGCACTTGAACCAGGATGGAGCATTTATTGAGTATCCCCTGGGTGCCGAGCACTGGGGAGAGTGAGGATCATAAATAATACATCACAGTTCTTATCCACAGAGAGCTTATATCCTGGTGGGGTGGGGGTAGGGGGGTGGGCAGAATACAACCAAATAGTATATACCGTGATGCATGTTGCAATAAAAGTATGAATCAAGTGTTTCGAGTACAGGAGGCAATTGGTTCTGTTGGGAGAAATCAGGGAAGACTTCCCAGAGGAGGTGACATTTAATTTGATCCTTAATGTATGAGTCCATGGTTGCTGGTCAAGGAAGTAAGGAGGATCCCCAGATATCATTCATTTATTCATTTAGCAAATATGCTTTGAAGGTTGACCATGTGCCAGGCCCGGGGATGCCAAGGACTTCGTGATGAAGGGAACAGACATGGCCCCCGGCCTCCCTGTGCTTGCAGCAGAGTAGGGGAATGAGACTTTTAAACAAATAAGCCTCGTATTTATGAGGAAAAAGCTCAGGGTGCTCAGGGTGCTGTGAGAGACAATCTAGGTGCGGAATGACTGGTTCTTTTCTGAAGAGAATACCAGTGGCCCTGGGAAATCCCAAGTCGGCCCCAACGCCCAAGACTAGCCGTCCACAGTAGTCACCAGATGTGCCTATGAGTGTTAACAGCCTTCTTGTGATTCCCCCACCCCTTTTTCTCCCACTAGGAAAGCATTGCTAGAAAGCAAATATCATGTATGGTTTTATAAGAATGAGATTGAATCGATCCTAAGATATATATTTAAAAAATTCTGTGCATCTTCCACACACTTTGGAATAGTAACTGTTTATAGTGTAGCCTGAATGTAAGCAGGCCTCTTGGGAGGGCCTTGCCCCACGAGGGGTGAGGAGGAAAGGGAGACAAATCTGACCTCCCAAACCCTAGTGAATGATGCAGAATTTTGCTGAAGGTTTGCCTTATAAGACGGAGGTCACATAGCACACCGTACAGCAACATTTCCTAAAATGTCAGCTTCTGGAGACATTTTTCGTTGTCACAACTGGGGTGATGCTACTGGCATCTGGTGGGGAAGCCAGGGATGCTGCTGAACTCTCTCCATGACACAGGACAGGCCCCCACAACAAAGAATTATCTGGCCCAGAATGTCAACAGCGTGGAGGTTGAGAAATCCTGCCCTGGAGCAGGTGGGCTGGGCCAGGTGTGGTGGGCAGAAGGCCCCAGGGCAGGTCCTGGAGTTTGCTCTATACCTCGTCTCCTGCTCAGGATGTCAACAGCAAACAGGGGCTTCCAAGTCTGAGTATTTGGAAGCAGAGTGGCCCCTTTTCCTCTGTTGGGAAGAGGACTCAACCTCAGAACCCTCTGGCAAGCTGAATCAAGGCTGTGTCTAGAGTAAACCCACCACTGACCTATAGAAGGAGCCATACAGAACCACATGGAAGGATCCAAGAGTCCTATGTGGGTGCCGAACGGCCCCCAGCTGTGAACAGCCCCGGAGTGGGGTTTGCTCCCTGCTGGCTAGGTCAGGCTGTTATGTTTGCCTTGGACAGGCCTAACTGCATGCTTCAGCACAGCTAGGGCAGGACCTGGCCTTCTATCAATAAAACCTGGGCCCTACTCCAGGCTCACTCCCCTTTTCTAAAAAGCTTGTTTGTGCTGATTTCCGCCTTGACTTGATTTTCAGTTAAATACCAGGATGTAGCTTTCTTTCACCTTGACACAGTCACCCGGGCTGAGCTAGCTTCATGAGCCAGTGCCGTCTTCCTGGGGGGATTTGCTGTGGCCCTGTCTGAGCTCAGCTAGCTTAGGGGGTATATGGCTGCTGGGTGGTCTCGGCTTGGTGTCCTTTCTCCTCTTGACTCTTTTAGGAAAAGAAAAATCACTGATTTTCCTCTATCCAGAGGAGACCACTGTTCGTTAACATTTTCATATTTTCCTCCTGTACATCCACACATTTTTCAAAACATGGTTGAGATCACCCCGTAGATAAGTTTTTGGCCTCCACCTTTGGAAAGGAGTAATCCCAAGGTTCTGGCTGTCTTCTCTCTGCCATGCTGGAGGGACGCACGGAGGGAGGGAGAGGGGGCAGAGATGGACTCAGAGCCCCTAGGCGCAAACTCACAAGGCCGTGTGGGAGACACCCACAGAGAAACTGAGGAAGGGCAGCTGCCTGTGCTTTCTCCAGCACAGAACTGGTGCTTTTAGAGTCTCTCCTTGGAGATCTCTAAGGTCTGTGACATGTGACTTTTCCTTAGGCACCTCACAAAACTCCTTCACGTGCACCCCAGATCCCTTCTTCATGTGAAGCCTGATTCCTAGAGAACGTTGTTGACATTGGCCGAACACCACGATAAATGGCCAGCATAGCTGTAGTTCCTTTATGGGACACTTACATCCCAAAGACCTTACACTTCGGGTGGTCTTAAAGTTGCTCCTCTGGTGGAAAAAAACAAACAAAACAAAAACGCTCAGGGACTCCCCAGTGCCCTCACAATGGCTTGTGAGTTTGCCAGTTTGGTCTACGCCTTTCATTGCCTTCGGGGAAGCGGCCCCCGGAGTGGAAGGTCCTGGCCCCAACTGTTGATTCTCACAACCCATGGCAGCCCAGGGGGGTCCTGGCAGCTCTGCCTCCTGTCTCGGTACATCGGATGTGCAGAGGACGAGCAAAAATCATGAGCACTCTTCCTTCCACTCAAATCACTTACAGCCGGGGGTTGAGTCAGCTGACGTCTCCCGGGCGCAGGCTCCTTCCCCCTTCCCCCTGCCCCTTCAGGAGCGTGGCACCTGGAAGCCAGCCTCCCTGGTCTTGGCTGCTCCTGGCCGCACAGCCCGGCCCCACCCTCAGCAGTTCCCAAACCTCACTCAGGTACTTTCCACACTTGGGAGCCTGGCCATAACCATGTTCCACCTGCGCTACTATTTACCTAACATTTCTCTTTAAATAGGTTCATTTTATTAAACTTAAATAAAACGTGTTAAAGGAAATTTTGAAAACCCTTGAATCACTAGTTTGATGTATGGAGGAATTTTTTTATTTGGTTAATACTTAATCTTTTTTTTTTTTTTTTAAGATTTTATTTATTCATTTGAGACACAGGGATAGAGAGAGAGAGAGCATGAGCAGGGGGAGAGGCAGAGGGAGAGGGAGAAGCAGGCTCCCCGCCTAGCCAGGAGCCCGATGCGGGGCTTGATCCCAGGATCCTGGGATCATGACCCGAGCTGAAGGCAGACACCCAACCATCTGAGCCACCCAGGCGTCCCAATACTTAATCTTTAAAATGAAAAGAACAGTGTGTTTCTAAGGACCGCCTCAGATTCCTTCCACATATATCTATTGAGGCAGGCACGGCTCTAAAATCGTTTCAGGTGCCGTCAGCGGGAAATGCTGTGAACAGAGGCTAGTGTCTTAGGTCATTGGTGCTTCGATGACCAGGGCCCTGGGTCCAGCCGCTGCCTAAGGCTCTCTGTGAGCAGTGGAGAGAGCCCGGGTAGCTGGGAAGAAAATTCCAGCTGTCCAAGACAATGCTAAGGCACTCATCCAAAGGAGAGCTGGATCTGTATGTATGGTAGGGAATAGTGTGAAGTGAGAACAAGTCCCCCCCCCCGGTACCTACAGGACAAGCCTATCTGTATTTTGTGTATGTATGTACGTACGTGCGTGTGTGTGTGTGTTAGTGCAGAGCGAGGGTTTGGACGCCAGCCGGCAAGCTACTGAAGAGATTTCACCTTGGGGATGGGTAGGAGTCCAAAGGGGTAGAGTTAGACAACTTTCAGCTTTTGCTGTTTGCATCAGTGCTGTTTGAATAACTGATGCTCTCATATGTTTCCAGGGTAGATTTTTTTTTTTAAAGCAATAAATATTTTCTTAAAGAAAGCAAAGAGCTTCTCGGTGGTAGAAGAGCTAGGTTCTGATCCAGACTGTGTAGACAACATACTGGATATGTGACCCAGGGCAAGCCTCCTGGTTCTCTGGGCCTTGGGTTTCTCCTCTGAGAAGTGGGTGGTGTGCTGGGTGGTCGCGAGGCTCCACAGGGAAGATGTGTGTGAGAGCGTGTGCAGACCAAGGCCTGTGTATGAGCAGGTAGCACGCCAGCGCTGTCTCTGCTGCCTCCAACGGCCTCCTGGAGTGTTTATCCTGTCCTCCCTGGGATGAAAACCCGCGGCGGCTTCCCAAGGCCCTCGAAATCAATCCAAATCTGGATTAGCACAGAAATCCTTCATGCTCTGGCTCTGCCAACTCTCCAAAATACTAGAAAGATGGGCTACGTCCTGGACATAAAACCAGGACACTATGACTTTGTGGTCGGCAGGCCCTTTTTACTCCAAGACTTACAATTATGGATTGCTCCCCACTATAGATGGAAAGACCAGGACCCTGTCCCCACGCACCAAAGGGACAGACAGGCGGCTTCCCAAGCTTCAAGGTAGATCAGCCGCCCAGGGTGCTGGCTGCTACCTCTCTGACACCCCCGCCCCCCACATTCCCCACCC